GGGGTTCCATAATAAAACAGGGTTTCCCCAAAATGCAAAGTTTTGACATCTCTTGAGACAGGAACTAAATAATAACAAAAGGACTAACTGTATTAAGAGTAAAGCTGAAAAATTTGGTTCATGTGAACCTGGTCTCAAAATAAAGGGACTTGTAAGGTAGTTCAGAATGAATCCCAGTACCTACCCCACCCCCACCCCCAGGTAACAGCTCAGAAAAAACAGAGTCAAAAGATGGGAGTTCAGCCATCAGGGACAACAAACTAACAGACTCCTTTATGAATGACTGAAGTTTAAAATTAAAGTAGTAAAAGTATTGATATTGATGTTTTATTAAATATCTTAGGGTACTTGTGACTATAAGAAAAATATAATTAAGAAAAAAACAAACATCACCTAAGAGAGGTTAACCTTTTCTTTTTTCTCTTTTCTCTTTCTTTCAAGATAGGGTTTCATTATTTGTAGCCTTGGCTGATCTTGAACTAGCAAAGATCCTCCTGCCTCAGCCTCCCGAATGCTGGTATTAGAGACATACACCACCAAGTCTGGCATGAGAAGTTGACTTTTGAATATTTAAGATTTTCACAAAGAAAAGGACAACAAAGTTTAAGCATTTTTGCAAAGTTTAACCTTTATAAGAACGGGCTAAAGCCATGTAGGTTGTACCTTCCCTGTTTAGAACATTCAATACATAGCCATCAGCTAAGATCTATTTCTTGCGTTGTAAATATAAGTCTATCGTACCATATCCTGGTCACCAGGATTACAGGACCTTGAATTTTAAAGGCTGCATCGATCAAGAATCCATCTTATCCCTCTTACCTCTGCACAGGCATGGCATATTATGCTGTTACAGTGGGGAATTTCTGTAGTTTTTTCCAGGTTATGCGATTCACAAATGGGGTGAGGACGTGTGGGCTGGAACAATCCGAGTTTACTACCTCTCGCTGAACTACTCCTCCCACTGTCACCATTCAGTTTCTCCAGAGGCACCAGAGGAAGCGTGAGGCACCATGACAACTCAGGCTGAGCGGCTCAAGACGCTGCAAAGCCCCAGCGCTCCCTCCTGAAGAGTCTTCCGGCTTCCTCACCCCATTTCCCTCAGTCCACACCCGGCTTCCCTGCCTGCAGTCCGCGCCTGGCCGGGCACAAGCCACCCACTTGAACGTCAGCCCCCGGATGCCCGTCGCAGGCTTCGCGTTGCCCTGCCCTCTTCGGCTCGGCGGGACCCAGCGACCCTCCTCCTCCACCGCAGATGCGCCCCTCGCCTCCTCCCGGGCCGGGCACTGTTAGGTCTCCGTCCCAGCGAGCTGTCTGCCCCGTGCCCTCCGCTGCTCCGTCCGATCCCCCCACACCGTGAGCGGCCCGGGATCCAACCCCTGTGCGCTGTCTCCGCACGCAGACCTCCTCCACACGCCCGCCCGCCCGCGCGAGCCGCCCCTCCGCCGGGCCGCGCTGCTCCCCAGAGCCCCTGCCCCCGGCGCCTGCCCACCCGCCAGTGCCCCGGCACAGCCCGACTCCCGGGCCCGCGCCGCGCTGCCTCTCCTCACCCGGCGATCACTGCCCCGATGAGGTACAACAGCAACAGGCAGAAGGTGCCCAGGTTCTGCGGGGCCATAGTCCCTCCGTGCCGGGCCCCGTCCCGCGAGTTCCTCACGGCGTGTTCCGCCGCCGCCTAGGCTCGCCAGCCCTCCTGGCCGGGTGAGGCCGCCTCACACCCGGGGTCTCCAACCAGGACCGCACAGACAGCTGGCTCGCCCCCTCCTCAGCCAGTTCACTTCCCGGGAGTCCGGAGTCCCGGCGAGAGGAGCCCCCGGCAGGCGAGGGCCAATCGCCGCCCGGGACATCACACGCGGCCGGCACGTCGGAGCCAATCAGCGCGGTACACTTCACCTCCGAGGCGGCTTGGCCAGCCAGTTAGACTTCGGAACTGCAGCCGCAGCTTCTGACCAATCCGAAGAAGGAACGTCGAGGCTCGCGCCGCCGCAGGAAGCTGCTCAGCGTAGGCTCCAGGGAGTCATAGAAAACTACGTAAAGGGTAGGGGCGGGGCCAAATGAGGGTACCTGGGAGACGCGCCTCCCCCCTCTTCCCGCCTCCTCGGAATTTTGCCCAATCACAAGGCTTCTCCGCCAGCACGGACCAATGGAGGGAGGGGACTTTATTTAGGTTACCAGACTCAAATTTTCACCTGGTGCGGTGCGCGGGATACGAGTTCCGAGGGACTGAGACAGAACTGAGACTCGGTACGCACGAGGCCCTGCCTGGAGATCTTACTTTCAGGTAGCCCAACAAAACTGTCTCGGTGTCTTACAGAGATAAGCGACCGGGGAGACCAGATTTAGTCTCAGCCTCCAGCACTTCGTAGTGGGGAGACAATCCCCTTCCCCAATTCCGAGCCTGTGTACCAACAAAACTGAGGTCAAGCACCTTGCAGGGGTGTGCATTTTTTTTTTTTTCCTGGAACCGGGGATTGAACTCAGATCCTTGTGTTTGGCAATCAAGCGCTTATCCTACTGAGCCATCTCCCTGGTGGAGAAAAATCTTCACTTTGCTTTGAGCAGTGACACGTGCCAAGCTCGCAGTGAGTAAAACCATCACAATAAGTGCAGAACTGATTCCCGGGTTTTGCTCATCACAGTAAACGTAGCTGTTCAGGACAAAACTAGGTGTCTTCCTTGCTTCTTTTCCGTATAACCTATCCACATCTTTACCTCTCAACTACGGTATGTCTTCAGTCTCTTCACTACATCCCCATTAATGTTTCTCTGGACCAAGCGCATCATCTCTTACCTAGAAAAGCCTCTTAACTAATTTTTTTTTTTTTTAAATGTATTTGGTGCAGAGTCTGACTACACAGCTTGGGCTCATAGTGATTCTCCTGTTTTCAGCCTTCCCAGCGCTGGTATTACAGATTTGCACCACCACACCCGGTCTTCTGTTAACTAATCTTGCTCCCATCCACCACCCTCGGTTCAGGGGATCGAACTTGGGACCCTGTACTTGCCAGGCAATGCTTATGCCACTTAGCTATATCCCCGGCTCTCCATTCTTAATATTATTAATACAATATTTTAATATACCCCTGGCACCTTCCTTATATTTTTAAAATGTCAAACCATGTCAGACTCCTGCCCAATGGCCTTTCATGGCATCTAGACTAAAATGTCAACTCTGTACTAACTCACAAAGCATTATATGATTGGTACCCTCACTTACTATGCACCCTGCCATGTTCCAGAAAAACTAGTTTCCTCTCTCTCTCTCTCTCTCTCTCTCTCTCTCTCTCTCTCTCTCTC